AGCATGCACGCACACGTGCCAAGCATGAGTTTTAAGCCACTGGGTCTGGGACTTGAACCGCAGTCGACTACACGGGAGTCCAGTGACATAGCCATTACGCCAACTGCTGGTCCCTGTGGAAACAATTCTAATCAAAAGAGAAGAAGTAATGAAGAAGATCGACTTTTTAATTTTTTTTTTAATTTTATTTATTTAATTTTAGAGGTTTTTGCTATAGGATGTATGTACTCGCCAGAAAGAGAGACAGAAAGCGAGACATCACCCCCAGGGGGGATGGCCGCACACACGCGTATGCACGTGGCATGAGTTTTAAACCACCAAGTCTGGGACTCGAACCACAGTCGACTACACGGGAATCCAGCGACATAGCCATTACATCAACTGCTGGTCCCCGAAGATCACCTATTAAAACTAACCTGGTGGGTTAGAAAAGAATACTGTAAATTAGTATAAGATTTTTTGGGGCTGGGTGGTGGCACAGTGGTAAAACAAGATGCACTGTAAGAAAGACCCATATGGTAAGGTTCTGGATCCCAATGTGGCGACCTCCCAGAGCACAACCCCCCCCACCACCCAGTACACACACACAACGTGCCCATAGTGCAGGGCTGACTGAAACGGGTATGGGCCGTGCCACCAAGATCCTGTTGGGAGCGTTCTCTCTCTGTCTGTCCCTCTTGCTCATGGAAAAAATAAATGAACTTAAAAAAAGAATAAGCCTTAAAATGTCTCCTCAGTTGTCAGTTTTAAAAAATACTGTCTGTATGAAAGAATTCTTTTTCCTTTTTTTTTTTTTAAGAGGTTTTTGCTATAGGGCGCGTGCGCTCTCCAGACACACAGAGAGAGACATAGAGACAGAAAGTGAGAAATCACCCCCCAGGGGAGATGGTCACACCGCAATCCCTTCTCCTCCATTCTCCTCTTGGGATCTTGGGCACGCACGCACACGCGCCCGGCGTGAGTTTTTAGCCACCGGGTCTGGGACGCAAACCGTGGTCGACTACGTGGGAATCCAGCGACATAGCCATTACGCTAACTGCTGGTTCCCAGTGTATGAAAGAATTCTTAAAAATTTAGAGAAAAGAGAGAAATAATTATACCACTGTGACCCAAAACAGTTAAAAATTTCTCATATTTTCTCGTGAGTTAATTTTACATACTTGTGGCCATTGTGTTTGTGTAGTTTTTTTTTTTTTCTTAGTATATTTTATTTTTTAGATCAGTTTTGGATTCACAGAAATGTTTAGAGGATGGTCTGGGTGTTTTCCATCTTTCTCCAACACTGGTAGCCCCCATTGTCAGCGGTCTG